CGGCCCCGGCCCCCACCTGCATGCCGCCCGCCACCGCTCCGCTTCCGCTTTCCCCGCGCCCCGCCCCGCCTCAGCCAATCCCCGAGCACGACCGCGGCAGCTCAGCCAATCAAAACGCGCTCGGTCCGACGGGCCCCGCCCTGCTACCAATCAGAAGGGAGCCACAGAGCGACAGCGCCACGTGCCGCCGTCCCGGTTGGCTGAGAGGAGGCGGGGGGAGGAGGCGCCGCCGACCAATCGGAGCGGGCGGGAGGGGGGCGCCGCTCACGCATGCGCAGTGCAGCGGGTCCCCGGGGCGGATCCCGGGTCCCAGGGAGCCGTGGGTGCCCCAGCGCAGGGCCAGGATCCCTCGGGGATCCCCAGCCGCCCTTCAGGGGATCCCGGGTCCCTCAGGGAGCCCCGGGAGCCCCCAAGCAGATCCCAGATCCTATGGGGATCCCCAATCGCCCCCCCCCGGGGGGGGGATCCCAGATCCCTCGGGGATCCCCAGCTGCCCCCAGAGCAGATCCCAGATCCCCGGGGACCACTGGATGCCCCAGCACAGAGCCAGGATCCTGGGATCCCCAGTCGCCGCAGAGGGTACCCCAGGTCCCTTGGGGATCCCTGAGGGGGGGCCCAGAGCAGATCCCTCAGGGACCGCTGAGTGCCCCAGCACAGAGCCAGGATCCCCCTGGGATCCCCACCCACCCCCGAGGGTACCCCGGGTCCCTTGAGGATCCCTGAGGGGGGACCCAGAGCAGGTCCTGGATCCCTTGGGGACCGCTGGGTAGCCCAGCACAGAGCCAGGATCCCCCTGGGATCCCCAGCTGCCCCAGAGGGGATCCTGGGTCCCTTGGAGATCCCCGGGGGGGGGGGGCAGAGCAGATCCCGGATCCCTCAGGGACCGCTGGGTGCCCCAGCACAGAGCCAGGATCCCTTGGGTGCCACCCAGTCCCACACCGGTGGGTCCCCGTGGGACCCATCCCCACGAGCCGCGTCCTCGCGCGGGGGCGAGATGGCGGCTCTCCGCCTCCACCCCTCACGGCGTCACCGCGTCCCCGGGGCCAGCGGTGGCTGAGCGGGGCGGTGGCGGCGTGGGGACAGCCCGCTGGGTGCCTGCGGGAGCCCCGGCGGGGAGAAGCGGGAGGCAGGAACCGGTCTGGCAGCCCGGCCAGCCGCCGCCGGTTTCGGTTAATCCCGCTGAAAGCCAGAGCCACGCTCCCACTGGCTGGCCCTTACTC